GAGAGACGGTGAGACTCCGGAGAAACGTACGGTACATACAGGGTGTTCGGCTACAGGTGCGAGGAAATCCGAGGGGTTGATTCTTAGAGCCGAAATAACATAAAAATCAAGAATATCAAAATTGCGTTTTTGGCTTTGTTTTTTAGTTATTGACAAGTAAAAATTGTCGGTGTATGTGTAAAAATAAATGTATACAGGGTGGTTGGTAACTGGTTCTACGCGAAAAAAGAAGTCGAAAATATAGAATAACAATTTTTCGTTCGAGTTCGATTTCTTTTAACGACATCATATGTTTTTTAACACATCGGTCGATCCAGGTGAACGTTCTCTGTAAGAAAGTAACAATTTGTTGTAACGATTTGTCTTTAAACTTTGATTTGTATTTTATACAAAAAAGGGGATGGTCTTCGTTTAAAAAGATAACGCAACTGCAAAGTGCGCGTGCATCTTTGCACTTGCACTCGTTCGTCTTCTTTCTCCCTCATTTTTTCCTCGTACTTATCGTTATCGAGGAAGACGCTGGAAATTAAATGTGTGTACACCCTGTATATAGAATTTGCGATTATTTATGCCGTCTCCTTAAGATAAATTTTATGCACGATCTGGTTTCCCTTTCGAGATGTTGAATATTAATCATGTATCCGGATAATGTGAAATTGATAACTGTGTAAAAACTGGTACTGATCAAGTTCGACTTTTGAGACGTTCATATACATATAGCGGCGGATAAAAGAAAGTTTATAAAGTAAGGAGCAGGTGTACAAAGACCATAGTTGAACGAAATGAATTTATATTTAATAAATGCAACGAATAAATGTAATGTGCAATACCACGGAACGAACGGTTCTTGCTAACGCGATAAAGAATTTTTTCGAGCAGAAGTTACTAAGACTCCTATCAATTTTCAATTTCCTTTTATCCGCCACTGTTTTTGTAAGTGTCTAGAAATTCTAAAGAGCCGCCGGTGTTGGAATCTTCGAGAGAACGAATCCTCATTTAACCATCGAGTCGCGAAACGAACCTACGAATAAGGCCTGATCATTTGGGTCTGCGTTAGGTGTCTATGGTTGAAAAGAATCTAATTATCTTTGAACCGAGGCTCGTCACATCGATTCGACGCAAGTATTTCTTCCAAAATTCTTGCGCGTCACTTTCAAGATGCTAGCGACACCCTTCCTGCACCCCGAATTCGTCAATCGAAATTCTCGACTCGTAAATCAACCAACTCGTGTATAATACACGTAGAAAAAGAAGCAGTTTGAATCAACAACTTTGAGATAGAAGTAGAGGCGCTTCGAACACGCCATGGAAAATAATTTCAAGCTTGTCGAGGCGTGTCGCGGCGTGTTAGGCTCGCGTGGCACCAGAACAGATTCGCCACGCGTTCTCCACCAAGATCGAAGAGAGGAAAACGAAAGAGAAAGAGAGAGAGAGAGAGAGAGAGTATTCGTCCAATTAATAGGCTGAATTATCGCGTAATCGATGGAAATTCGTTAGGGACTAGGAGATATCGGAGACGAGCGTGGTCAGTTAATAAATGCGCGGCGACTCGGTTTAATGCGGCTAACCAGTTTCCGGCGCGTCGCAGAGCGGGACGAGGACGACGACAGGCCGACCAGCAGGTGCACATGCTCGCGCCGGCTAATCTACATGCCTGGAATGCCGGTAAATTAAGGAGCCGTCGTCCTCTTCCAGCGCCCCTGCATTCGACAATTAAACGGTCCCTCGTTACTTTCCCATTATCTGATTCTAATATTTCTCGCCCGGTTGAAAAGTCGCGGATCAAAACCTTTCCTCCTCGTCCTTTTTTTTTTCCTTTTTATCTGGATCTTCGGCAGGATATTCAGATTACGTGTTCGAAGGTCGACGATCTCGAATCACGGTTTTCGTGGTTGATTTTGGTTTCGTTTCGGTAGAATGGATTTAAGTCGATGTATGACGATATACAGGATTGGGATGGATATCTGATTTTGATACTGTTAGTATGCGGTCCTCAGCATGTTGGTTTTCAACGAACGATATGGGTAATTTCAATGCAAATATCGTTGCGCTCCTCAGGACCATTTTATCATTACATTGAAATGGATTTAATTTGGAAATTATGCATGTGGTCTTTTCAAGGTGTTGCTTTTAAATAAATGGACACTTTCGATGCAGATATCCTTGCATTTTTTATACGTATTTTGTTATTACATTCGCTTCTCTAACGCGTTCCTTCGTGTGTTTCTCGATGTTCGAATTTCTCGCAAATTTCAACGTTTTAATTCTTTTATCTTCTACTTTACCCTTTTCCTCTCTCACATCTTCGATTTGCTAATTTGCGCATTGACGATTTATTCACTGCAGCTCAAACAAGGGTATACACTTACAGCTTTGAAAGAAAGTTAAAACTAAACTGCTAAAGCTTGTTAGTAACGATACATAAAAGCGTAAGTACGCTAAGACCCGACGTAAAGGCAATCGCAATATCGCGATTGGAAATTTCTTCGACCATTGCGTTTACTTCCCAAAACTACTCTCCGCGATTAGCTAATTTGCGTATTCAAGGCTCATGCGCTCCAGCTCAGAAAACGCCATGTACGCGAGACGATTGTTCCTATGTTGTGACTTCTGTGTCCGACTTGATCACAAGAAAAAATAATTTTACCATCTTTTCTAATTTTAATTTAATTTAATTTAATTTTCAAATTACCCGCGCCCTAACAAAATCTGCTACAAAATTACACTATACGATTTTACCAACTGGATCAAAGTTTCAAATACTTTCTGTCTTTCGCTGTTACCGGCAGTTTGAAGCATAAGCATAAAAGTTTATCAGTTTCTCCGTGACATTATGCGATTTTATTCGTCCATATCCTTTGCTGCAATTTTTTATCCATCTTGAACAAACTGATATCTTAAACATTCTATAATAACTGCCCTAAGACTTCCGACGTAAAAGCGATACCGGAATTAAAAAAAGAATTCCACGACCACTTTTAGTTTACTCCAAACTCTGTTCACTTCGAATTTCGTTTACCTGCAAAAGCCAGTCTCGTCTGTCAACGATTCTTTTTATCCGCTATGCGCTATCGATCTTCAATTCCAATGAACTTCTACCCGACCCGTAGGATGACGTTATCGCCAGAACGTAGCCATAATCCACGTTATCCGCGTCTCTAATAGCCATAAATAATAACACAGCCGCTCGCATTGGTCGCGTTTCCTGGTCTTCCAGGCACACGCGTGTGCGAATACGACAAGCGGAGGCGAAGAATTTATCGGCGTCGCGCTCGGTTTGCCTAGCTGCCCTCGACAGGCTCGTCCCTCTTCCGCTCTTCTTTTCTACCCTGTTTCGCATTGGCC